TAGAATATCATGAAAAAGTAGATTGATTTCAGTAATTCCATTTAAAAAGTGAAACTTGTATATTATATTCATACATTACATACAAACTCATATATTTCAGATGTTTATTTTGTTTAATTTTGATGATTACAAATGACAACAAATGAAAATCTCAAATTCATCATATCAGAAAATTAGAATATTGTGAAAAGGTTCAAAATTGATGGCCCCTGGTGCCACACTCTAATCAGCTAATTAACTCAAACCACCTGCAAAAGCCTTTAAATGGTCTTTCAGTCTAGTTCTATAGGCTACACAATCATGGGGAAGACTGCTGACTTGACAGTTGTCCAAAAGACGACCATCGACACCTTGCACAAGGAGGGCAAGACACAAAAGGTCATCGCTAAAGAGGCTGGCTGTTCACAGAGCTCAGTGTCCAAGCACATTAATAGAGAGGCGAAGGGAAGGAAAAGATGTGGTCGAAAAAAGTGTACAAGCAAGAGAGATAACCGCACCCTGGAGAGGATTGTGAAACAAAACCCATTCAAAAATGTGGGGGAGATTCACAAAGAGTGGACTGCAGCTGGAGTGAGTGCTTCAAGAACCACCACACACAGACGTATGAAAGACATGGGTTTCTGCTGTCGCATTCCTTGTGTCAAGCCACTCTTGAACCACAGACAGCGTCAGAAGCGTCTTGCCTGGGCTAAAGAGAAACAGGACTGGACTGCTGGTGAGTGGTCCAAAGTCATGTTCTCTGATGAAAGTAAATTTTGCATTTCCTTTGGAAATCAAGGTCCCAGAGTCTGGAGGAAAAGAAGAGAGGCACTTCATCCACGTTGCTTGAAGTCCAGTGTAAAGTTTCCACAGTCAGTGATGGTTTGGGGTGCCATGTCATCTGCTGGTGTTGGTCCATTGTGTTTTCTGAGGTCCAGGGTCAACGCAGCCACATACCAGGAAGTTTTAGAGCACTTCATGCTTCCTGCAGCTGACCAACTTTTTGGAGATGCAGATTTCATTTTCCAACAGGACTTGGCACCTGCACACAGTGCCAAAGCTACCAGTACCTGGTTGAAGGACCATGGTATCCCTGTTCTTAATTGGCCAGCAAACTCTCCTGACCTTAACCCCATAGAAAATCTATGGGGTATTGTGAAGAAGAAGATGCAATACACCAGACCCAACAATTCAGAAGAGCTAAAAGCCACTATTAGAGCAACCTGGGCTATCATAACACCTGAGCAGTGCCACAGACTGATCGACTCCATGCCACGCCGCATTGCTGCAGTAATACAGGCCAAAGGAGGCCCAACTAAATACTGAGTGCTGTACATGCTCATACTTTTCATGTTCATACTTTTCAGTTGGCCAACATTTCTATAAATCCTTTGTTTTTATTGGTCTTCAGTAATATTCTAATTTTCTGATATGATGAATTTGAGATTTTCATTTGTTGTCATTTGTAATCATCAAAATTAAACAAAATAAACATCTGAAATATATGAGTTTGTATGTAATGTATGAATATAATATACAAGTTTCACTTTTTAAATGGAATTACTGAAATCAATCTACTTTTTCATGATATTCTAATTTTATGACCAGCACCTGTATGACTCATCCAATTACACTAGTTTTCACTAGATGTGGATGGCACCAATAATCTGCATTGGATGGCGCACATGACGTGAAATAAATATTTATGAACATAAACTGAAGCCATGAGTAACGAGCAATGTTAGTTTTAAAAATGTAAGGAATAGAAAGTACAGATACTTGTGTAAAAATGTAATGAGTAGAAGTCAGAAGTAGGAAGAACAATAAGTAATGGAGTAAAGTATAGATACCTAAAAAGTGTACTGAAACAGAGTAACGAAGTATTTTTGCTTTGTTACTTGACACCTCTATTCTAAAGGTCTGCAAGGTAATCAGGTCTCTGTGAGAAAATTGCACTCAGTAACACAATATAAAATTTATTTTTATTTTTTTTATGATATATCAACCAGTTTTGATACCCTCTGTCTTTTAGAAAATAGATTAGTTATTTCATAATCAGTGGCTGTATTTACTCAGATTATCTTTGCTTGATACTTAGAAGCAAAAGCAGAAGCATCCATAAAGGTTCAAATGCTGTTTTCACAGAATTGCATGTTACGCTTACACTTAAAGGGTAGAAGGAAATACTGGTGGAGATGAAATAATTGATGCTCGCAAGAAGGGCCTCAAGCCAAACATTGCTGATCTTTATATTTTTACATGCAATAATTGCCAAGGCAATGCTTTTTTCAATATATTTTTTTCTTTGGAATTGAACTATTGCTTCCTGTCATCCCTCTGTTTTTAGGTTGGGATTCTATAGAATTTTAATATTTTTTTTCATTAATTACATAAGGCTTTTTATATGATATTTGCATAAGTTGTAACTTGCAGATTTTGGACAAGAAAAGAAATGTGAGAAATAAAACAGCTGTTTTGGCAACTTCTACATGTGAAATCCAGATGGCCCACAAACAAACATGAATAGACAGCAGTCCCTCCTGCCTATGCCGCCCGGCTGTACCATAAGCACATTCCCCGGGTCTATGAGAAATACTGAAAATAAAAGCAATTAGAGATGAAGTCAAACGGAGAGTTTGCAAATCCCCTGGTTACGTTTTTGAATAACAAGGCAATTTATCCAACCTGCCTGGATTTTATTTGCTCAATATTAGCTGGGATGATTTATAAGACAGTTGGAGTAGTAATTTTCTATCTTTGTGACCATCTGCTCATAGTCATTTTAATGTGTTGAATTTCACACCTGTGTATAACAGATCCTCAAAATTAAATTGACCAAACAACAACATGTCTATCTGTATTACATTCATTTTGATGAGAGGAATATGTTAGTCAAGTTAAATTGTCTTTAGAGGTGGTTTTAACCATACCAAAACAACTGAATGTTTTTTTGTTTTTTGTTTTTTAGCATTATTATTATTATTATTATTATTGAACATATGCAGATACACAGTCCAACAACCATGCTTCTCCACCTATGCTGTCTGCAGCTGATTGGGTTTGTACAGATCCTGCAACCTGCTACACTGTCTTGTGAGTAAACGAGACCTCGCTTAAAGAGCTCTCGATCAAGCAGGTTTTGCACCCAGCAGGCAAAGTGCTCTATCACCCGACTGTGCTGCCTCATCGGGTGTGAGCTGAATAGCACTATGGCTGCTCTGGAGATGTAACACACCATTAACAATATCCCAACAACAACTCAAATCGCGTGAGCAGTTGACACACATCACAGAAAGCAAATTAGTCAGGCTGCTGCAAACTGGGAATGCAATAAAACCAAACTAATGGTAAACGCAGAATCATTTCAATGTGTGTTTACTGAAGGGACATATAGCATGTATATACACTCACCGGCCACTTTATTAGGTACCCCATGCTAGTAACGGGTTGGACCCCCTTTTGCCTTCAGAACTGCCTCAATTCTTCATGGCATAGATTCAAAAAGGTGCTGGAAGCATTCCTCGGGGAGTTTGGTCCACATTGACAGGATGGCATCATACAGTTGCCGCAGATTTGTCGGCTGCACATCCATGATGCGAATCTCCCGTTCCACCACATCCCAAAGATGCTCTATTGGATTGAGATCTGGTGACTGTGGAGGCCATTTGAGTACAGTGAACTCATTGTCATGTTCAAGAAACCAGTCTGAGAGGATTCCAGCTTTATGACATGGCGCATTATCCTGCTGAAAGTAGCCATCAGAAGTTGGGTACATTGTGGTCATAAAGGGATGGACATGGTCAGCAACAATACTCAGGTAGGCTGTGGCTTTGCAACAATGCTCAATTGGTACCAAGGGGCCCAAAGAGTGCCAAGAAAATATTCCCCACACCATGACACCACCACCACCAGCCTGAACCGTTGATACAAGGCAGGATGGATCCATGCTTTCATGTTGTAGACGCCAAATTCTGACCCTACCATCCGAATGTCGCAGCAGAAATCGAGACTCATCAGACCAGGCAACGTTTTTCCAATCTTCTATTGTCCAATTTCGATGAGCTTGTGCAAATTGTAGCCTCAGTTTCCTGTTCTTAGCTGAAAGGAGTGGCACCCGGTGTGGTCTTCTGCTGCTGTAGCCCATCTGCCTCAAAGTTCGACGTACTGTGCGTTCAGAGATGCTCTTCTGCCCACCTTGGTTGTAACGGGTGGTTATTTGAGTCACTGTTGCCCTTCTATTAGCTCGAACCAGATTGGCCATTCTCCTCTGACCTCTGGCATCAACAAGGCATTTCGGCCCACAGAACTGCCGCTCACTGGATGTTTTTTTCTTTTTCGGACCATTCTCTGTAAACCCTAGAGATGGTTGTGCTCGAAAATCCCAGTAGATCAGCAGTTTCTGAAATACTCAGACCAGCCCTTCTGGCACCAACAATCATGCCACGTTCAAAGTCACTCAAATCACCTTTCTTCCCCATACTGATGCTCAGTTTGAACTGCAGGAGATTGTCTTGACCATGTCTACATGCCTAAATGCACTGAGTTGCCGCCATGTGATTGGCTGCTTAGAAATTAAGTGTTAACGAGCAGTTGGACAGGTGTACCTAATAAAGTGGCCAGTGAGTGTATATATATATATATATATATATATTAGAATTAGATTATGCCCTGATCTTAAGTAACTCAAGTATAAATAACTAAACTAAATAAAAAAACAAAAAACAAAACCCAGACCAAAGTACCTGAAACCCTTATATTCTATAGTTTATGTCAGTATCTTTAATTGCTCCAGATAAGACTTTATCCCTGACAGCTAACATTTTATAAGCATAATTAGAAAGATTGTTTTAGAAAAGGCATGAGTAAACATTTTAGGGAGTTGTTATGGAGTGGAGCTGAGATAAACATACATGGACATGCACGAGGAGCCTTTTTTCCTCCCACCTATGTGTGAAGATAGACCAAAGGCAAACAGGGAATGTGCTTGGCTGAAAGGAGGACTGGAGCAGACAAACAGACTGGTCAAAGCCAGCAGGCAAGAAGGCAGAGTATTTACCCAAGGTAAGTATTGAAATCTGCTGACGAGCTGTGTCCATCCAGAGCTGAGCTTTAGCTATGACTATTTGAGCTTTTGTTTTTTGGTGTTTTATTCCTACTCTCTAAGTTTTCATGTGAAATGTTCAACAATCCAGTGCTGAATTTAATATTTAGCATTATTTCAAAATAAGTGTATTCCTTTGAAGCTCTATGCAGAAGGTGAACACAAATCAGCACATTTATTTAAATTATTCATTTTTCCAAATATTCTGGACAACAAAGGTTTGACAAGCAAGACCCCTTTACTGTAATACCCCCAAAAAATCTGAACTCCAAATAGATTTTAAAAGCAGCCTTATTAGAAATAATTTCTGTCAGTATAAAAACAACTGCTTTATAAAGGTCTTAAAGGTTTATTTTAAAGAACATTAGCAAACATACATTATCAGGATGAACCAGGAACAGGACAGACAGGTCAGAGATGAAGTTAATGAGAGCTTTAAAGCTTATGAGCATTTTTATCTCATGTAGCACAGCTCAATTTATCCTCTATTTTAAAAACAAAATAAGGTACGAATGCAAACCTACCAAGACATGGATGTTCCTCTGGACTGGCTGCACAAGCAAGGAGGGCATTTATTGGAGAATAAGCAAGGTGCCCCATTATATAGCTCAAGGAGCTAAAAGTCTGCAAAAAGATTGTGGTAATGTGAATCTCTCAATAGGAAAATTTGTGATAACTAAGGTTTATGAAAGAGCTGAAAGAAGAATGTTGATATTAAAAGATAGAAATAGTAAGGTTAAAATATAACAGTTGATAAAATCATGAAAACTTGAGACTAAAGAACAGGTTAACTCTCCCACAGATCATTACTCTGACAAACCATCCACAGCTAAGGATGCTTTAGCTCAAAACTTATGCATGTGTTATCAGGGCCAAGTCAAAATACAAACCTCAGATAGATTAGATGGGTTTGACTAAACATAAATACCAATGGTCACAATCACTCTCCAGCCAATCTGACTCAGTTCAAATCGATTTTGAAGGATGGTTTAACATTTCAATCACTATTTGTGAAAAGGGGGTAAAGATATACCTCCAGACTTGAAACTAGTTGCTGTAAAAGGTTTTCTCCTTCCAAGGAAATTCTGTCTGAAACCAAGGCTATTTCTAAAATCCATATATTATAGCTTCTATCTCCTGTTCCTAATGGTATTTCAGTTATTAGGTTCTGCAGACATTGTAGATGGACCTTTCACTGTGTTTCCAAATTCCCATTAAGCCTCTTTCAGTTTCCTCAAACGCTTCTCCCTGTGTTCTCATCCCCCTGATTCCTCTCTGCCATCTTAGAGATATTGCCGACCTGAGTCAGATTAACCTGCTTACTGTATTTATATTACTGCATCACAATAAACTGTTTAAACGTATCCTCTGGCCCTCGGAGAGTATTTACACATGTGGGGTAGGTATTTTAACAAAACCACAGGTATAGATTATTGATACCAGTTTATAGTGCTGCAAACTTGTGTGTCAGGAAGTTGCTCCTTGTCAGTGTTGGCACTTGCAGAGGTGTTGAAAGGAAAGACTCAGGTGCCAACTGAGACACCAACACTGTGGGAAATGACACTGGTTATCACACCCTTGATTTTTACACCATAGTTTCTTTACCTCTAACACAAAGGGCCTGTCTTTTCTTATTACAAAGTAATTAATGGGTTAGGAAATGATAAATTCTAATATCTGCCACCAACAGATGAAAGCCCTCACATTTGCAACTACTACAGAAAAACAGGAATCCTGATACGTGAGGTGGTTGTGTTTTCATAGTGCAGCACAGAATAACATAGGAATCTAACCTTTAGCTCCTATAATTTGTGATTCTCGAAAAGAGAAATATCAAGACAAAATGTAAGAATGCATTAAAATGTGGGTATTTTTCTTTACACAGGCCTATTGGAAAAACAGCCTGAAACATATAAGATGTTTGATATTTCTAATGTTCAGTGAGAAATCTGAAAACCGTCAGACTTTAACCTGAGTGGGATTTGTTTTTCTCTGCTTGCTGTGAACTCCGGTCCAGACGGTTGGACAGAAAGACAGACAGAATCGCGGTGCTGGCAGGACGAATATACACACTGATGTCTGCTTTTAATGTTTGTTTTTGCTTTTATTCCATTTTCCTGGTGGTCCCCATAGTGACATCAAGCTCTTATTTATGACAATAACACTGCTGTGCAAGATGTCGTTTATCTCATGTTTTGTTGTTGTTACTCTTACAATTTTTTTCTTTTCTTAACCACTGATTTAAAACAAATCACCAGGGCCAAACAGCAATTTCCCTGAGCTATAACAAATGCTGCCTAGTTGAACTATTTACACCTTCAGGGTGCATCTACAGCTGTATATTTTAATGGGATTTGCTATGGACAATCACATAGTAGTAGATAATATAGGTTTAAAAAGGAAATTATGCACTTTTATAATATTACAAACTATATAGAGGACATCACTAAACATCTACTTTCAACAGCGTAAATAGGTCATTTTTATTCCTGGACTTTGACTGAGTTATTCAATGAAATTATCTTTTTTTTTTTTTTCTACAAACAACCCAAAGTAGCTTTGCCTATGTGTTTTTAGCCATTCCGGTGCTGTAGGAAGAACAGGTGTCACTGTTGTTTTATAGCCTCTAACTTTACTTTTACTTTATTTATTTTTTCACAAATCAAAATAGAAACTCAGAATACATTAATAAAAAAAGAAATGTGATGGAGTGTGACAGAAACCCCATAGGGCTTATATCAAAGGCCACACCCCTAGAACAACAAAACACTTTTTTTTTTTTTTTACATTTTAACTTACAGATTTCAGGGAGTCAGTATTTGTAAAATCATACATGACTGTCTTTTTTGAATAACAGTATTTTTTTCAAACACTTTCTACTATTTATCTCTGAAGATTTGAAATATTTTCTATACTCATTCCATAGTTTTGCATCACAATGCCGAAAAGAAAACTGCACTTGAGTTTTAATACTTAAATGGTAAATGAAAAGACAAAGCTTGTCTAGTATTATAAGGAATGGACTTGGCTGTTCTTAACAAAAATAATTCATGAAACTATCAGGAGACTGACCGTGTTTTATCATAAAAAAAGGTACATGTTTGATAAATATTAATTGTTCGTAGAAGTGTTAATGTGACATGTGCTGACTTGGTTTTACTCCACACATTTGAATTTATTTTGTAAATTACATCCAATAATTTCATTTGGGTGCATCAAAAACAACATGGATAGATAACAAATACATGCTGTATTTTTCAAATTTTGATTTCGAAAACAAAAAAATTGACTTAATTTCCTTTGAGGGATGAACTAATAAAACAAAAACAATACAAAAGAGATGGGGTTGTAATTTGGTAGGCCTTTCCCAACAGTGGCAGATAAATCAATTTGTTTGTACGGTGATATAATGAAAATATTGGCTTTCTGTTCTAGAAAGTGACAAAATAATTTTGCAGCTATGATTATTTTCGGAAATATGTCTCAAATCACTAAACATGACATTCCATTACATTTGGAGGACAGATTTTTGTTACCAAATTAAAAATAAAACGACAGCTAATTGCATGTTACATTATGTTAGATGAAATATTTAAGGTTTTTTTGTTGTTGTTGTAGATAGGATTTTCAGTCTGTTTGATTGTACTTTTGAAAAACATTTTTAATTAATGTAGCCTTTTTTTATTCTGATTTATTCATTTATTTATATCATTCTCACTGTAAGATCTGAAATACCAGTTTATCAGGAATAGCATTTTTTCAACCAATATTTTAAAATATAAAACTCAAATATTTTTGTAAGGAAATTGTGTTAAAAGGCTTTTTGAAAAATATTTGTTTGCAACTAGGAAAAAAAAAGGAAGAAATGATAATTAACTGTGTGTTGAGCTCTGGGCCCTGTCTGGCTGAAGACCGGCCCTGGTGAGCCCTAAAGTGGCTTGGCTGCTGCAGGTGTGGCTTTGATCTAAGTGTCAATATTTACAGGTCCATGTAATAAAGCTTCATTCAAATCGCTGCCATCCTGTGAGCCTTTAATAGTATGGCTACTCTCAGCCAATCAGCGACAAGCCCGCAAAGATCAAAGAGGAGATTAACCAACCAGTGTTCCTCCAAAGAGTCATCCTGACACGGAGCCGCTGAACGGACTATATAGTCAGAAACTCACCTTTGGAAGCAAAACAGCCAAGGCCTTTTAATCTACTCACAGAAACACAGTTCCTCTCTGCTCTGATTGACCTAATGGCGACTGGTGCTGGTGAATGTCCCAGCAGCAAGGCCGCACAGTACCGGGTGGATCACCTCCTTAGTGCGGTGGAGAGTGAACTGCAGGCCGGCAGCGAGAAGGGAGACCCCAGCGAGAGGGACCTGAAAGTGACCCTTGATGAGCTGCAGCTGTGGCAAAAATTTAAGGACCTCACAAACGAGATGATCGTTACAAAGAACGGCAGGTGAGCCTCAGATGATAGATAAAAATAATGCAACTGATTTTGGCATTTACTTAATTATATTTAGTTACTTTAACACAATTGTTTTATGTCCCACCCTGCTAACATGAAACAATTGTTAAAGTAACTAAATATGATTAAATAAATGGAAAACATTTTGCATTATTTTTTCAAATAGATAGATAGAAAGACAAATAGATATATAGGTAGAAAGAAAAATAGATAGATAGAAAATAGATAGATGGAAAGAAAAATTGATAGATAAATGATAGAAAGATAGATAGAAAGAAAATAGAAAGAAAATAGATAGATAGATAGATAGAAAGATTTGATGATGTGGCCTAAATTGCTATTTATGCCGTCTTTCATTTAAGGCGGATGTTTCCAGTTCTGAAGGTAAACGTCTCTGGATTGGACCCACATGCCATGTATTCTTTCCTGCTGGACTTTATATCCGCGGACAACCACAGGTGGAAATACGTTAATGGAGAGTGGGTACCGGGAGGTAAACCTGAACCCCAGACCCCCAGCTGCGTGTACATCCACCCGGATTCTCCAAACTTCGGGGCCCACTGGATGAAGGCTCCGGTCTCCTTCAGCAAAGTTAAACTCACCAATAAACTGAACGGCGGAGGTCAGGTAAACATTGAGCTGCTTTCTGCACAGAATGACAACATTACAGAGGTTTATTCATTAGAAGATGGGTCAATTCAGATTGGTGAGTTGGCTTATGTAAGTTTATAAGTTAAGACTCTTTTACCCATTGTTTGGTTATGTATTCACTCTTTTTAATCGTTTAATAATTTAGCTTTTTAAATAAGTAGGCCTATGGATAAACTAGATTTTCTCTTTTGCTTTAAAAGTTCTTCACATAGATCAACATTTGTAAGGCAAATAACTGGTACAATGCATTTTTGATTACATTAAAGTTCAATGTAAAAAACAACAACAAATCCTTCAAAATTGAATTTTCTTCTTTTGTCATCTGTTTCCCATCAGTGATAACTCTTATATTCATAGAAAGTATATAGACTTTAAAAGAAATCTACTTTGTCTATGACTGCATTACTTCTTTGTGCAAAAAAATTAAAATGTGACAAAGTAAACCTTTCTTCTAATTCGGATACCCCAGGGGCAAATGATGAATCGATATCCCCATCTGCAACATTATATGCTGCTTGTTAGAAATGTAAAGAAAATAGATATTTCACATGCAAGAAAGATAGATTTATAAATAACATTGCAAAAGGCATGCAGTAGGCTACAAAAAATATGATTTTAATTCAGTTTTCTTTTTATGTAATAATAAAAGTATAATGGCATTAATTAAAAATGGAACAAAATGTTGAGACATAATATTTTAGTGATAATATGGTGGAAGTGGAGAATTCAAAATGAAGGAATGCTAAGGGTTAAATTAAAAAGCAAAATTTCATTGTATTGTGAAGAAGTTCTTATAATAATTAATATTTTAGCTTAAGTTCAACATAATTTTCTAAGATTATTTAAGATACTTAAAATAATAACTAAGTAAATAGTCATATTATATTATTTAAACACAAATGAGGTGACTGAATGTTGCCTAATTAACAGTTTGTAAACAGGAAACTAAGTCATTTTTAATTTAGGGTAATCTTAAAATTGACCTAATCTAATTAATAGGGCCACAGTTTTGTGCAGTTATTAGTGCAGCTCTAGTCTTAAACATGTAATGTTTAAATATTGAACAATGACAAGTGTTAGTGCTTTATAAAATCTATTTATTATCATTTGAGGATTCCTAATGTCTTCCCCTTTTAGAATTAAAATAAAATAATCATTACCCACTTCATTATCCTGGTATAAAAAATACAAATAAATGTAGCATCTGCTATCAAACCATAAATGGAATGAAAAGCTTCTCCCTGACAGTCTCTGCCAAGATGTCTTGTTGTGCCTTAGTGTTCAGATAATCGGTTTGCTTGCAAAAATGATTTGTTTTTTAGTATAGTTTTGCAAAGGTTTCTTAAGCTAAATACAGATCTAAATTCTCTTTCCATCATATAAACATTTTCAAGCACAACTTTTTATACATTTCTTAGCTTTTACAAAAGTCATCAAGCTCAATTATTACTATTTGAGCTAAATGCTGGTATAAAATTCTTACTAAAATTAGACAGTTATTCAGTGATGCCAAATATATTAGCAAGCTTTTATTTTTTAGCATTTTTTTCTCCAAGTTTGATCTTAATATCAATGCAACTGTAAAGCAGTTATGCTATTGTTCATATGTAATGAACTAAGATTGGTATTTTGCTGAGTTTTATCAATAAACTTTTTTTTTGTATTAAACCTAAAGTCATTAACCTCTCAAAACCCACCTGTTTTAAAGCATTTACAAATAATAGCTCAGAATGCATGGAAATTACACTGGTAAAATGTTTACCAATATAGTCATATTAGACATCGTTGGAAAGCTTAGATTCTCCACAATTCAACCACCAAGTTGATTTCATAGACATAGCGAGCACCAAAGCACAATTATAGCAGCATGTCGAAATGTAGCATGACAAAGCAGCCACAACAAGCAAGCATGTCTTTATTACTGCTGTTCAAAAAAGACTTATTATTTTGGAGAATAAAAAAAACAACTTTGAGTCATGTTTGAATGAATGCAGCTTGGAGAAAAACTAAAAGATGTTAGCTTTCAAATAACGTATAACTCTGGAATTTTGTGCGTACAGTTCCTCAGTTATTTGCTTTTCCATTTGGGTATGCACAATAGGCGAATTTCCCAGAAATTAGGTGGATATTAAGAGGTTAAAGCTGGATTATTGTTTCTTCTCAACAACAAGACTTTTCATCATTCTTAGCTTTTAGTACATTTTTGTTTGCATACACCTAACAACCTAAAGGTTTAATAAAGTAGTTCAATCAGTTATTCATTATTTTTGTTAGCCTTGTTTAGGATTTGTTTTAATGCAGAAATTAGTAATATAATATTTTAATCATTCTTAAATATCACATTAACAAATGTAATCTTTATATAAATATAATAAAAAGGTATATGATTTCATTAGCTAACATTTTACCTCAGAAAATAATATTTTGCAGTGTTGCTACTGTTTCTTTTCAAAAGCAAGCATTAAAAGTAAAGTGCAAAAAGGAATTATAATTAATCTTCCTTCTGCTTTCTTATCTTTCTTTCTTTTTAAAGATTATGTTAAATTCTTTGCACAAATATGAGCCACGTATCCACATCGTTAGGGTTGGAGGCCCTCGACGGATGATCACCAGCCACTCCTTTCCAGAGACACAGTTCATTGCTGTAACAGCGTACCAAAATGAAGAGGTTAGTATAAACACAGTTAGAGGTCAGATCTTAGTTTCTTGGTTTAAACCATTATTATAAAGCAGGTTCTTTTACCTTCAGGCCTGGGTGCCCTGGACAGTCAGCCTTATCTCAGTTTATAAAAAAACTCTCAGATCATGCAAGCAAAATGTCACTTATGTGCACAGAATATATTTTTATTTTTAGCAAAGCCAACTGTAAAGTGTTTCTGAATTTCAGATAACGGCTCTAAAAATAAAGTACAATCCTTTTGCCAAAGCCTTTCTTGATGCAAAAGAAAGGTAAGAGTGAGACTAAAAGTTACTTTTACCACAACATCTGCATGAAATCAAAATATGCACACTGCTCTTTCTCTTGTACAGGAATGACAACAGAGACATGAGGGAAGACATAAATGAGAATCCACAGTCTGGCTACTCTCAGTGTAATTCTGTATATATATAATTTTTTAAAATCTTATACTTATTTCCTTATTTTATGGTGCTAATATTATGTACTTTCCCTTCTGCGGAGCCAGTGGGCAGCTGGTTCATTCATGGCACAGGGACCCTCTGCACACCCACCAGTCCTCACAGTCAGTTTGGGAGTCCCATGGCCCTCTCCCCCTCCCATGGCTGTGAGCGTTTTTCCAGCCTGAGGAACCACCGCTCTGCCCCCTACAGCAGCCCGTACACCCACCGGACCAGCTCACCCAGTGAGTCCCTTCATCATAAACATTTAAGCTCTTCCCACTTTGCATTTTAACTAGAAACTTAAACAAATGTTGCTGGATGGGTGAATGGTTTGCATTCCACCTGCTTTTGTGTGTTTTAAGGCACAAAGATGTAGTGTTTGGATTTTGGCAAGGTCTGTCCAAGGAATGGCTCTTGGCATACAGGTGCTGGTCATAAAATTAGAATATCATGAAAAAGTAGATTGATTTCCGTAATTCCATTTAAAAAGTGAAACTTGTATATTATATTCATACATTACATACAAACTCATATATTTCAGATGTCATTTTGTTTAATTTTGATGATTACAAATGACAACAAATGAAAATCTCAAATTCATCATATCAGAAAATTAGAATATTACTGAAGACCAATAAAAACAAAGGATTTATAGAAATGTTGGCCAACTGAAAAGTATGAACATGAAAAGTATGAGCATGTACAGCACTCAGTATTTAGTTGGGCCTCCTTTGGCCTGTATTACTGCAGCAATGCGGCGTGGCATGGAGTCGATCAGTCTGTGGCACTGCTCAGGTGTTATGATAGCCCAGGTTGCTCTAATAGTGGCTTTTAGCTCTTCTGAATTGTTGGGTCTGGTGTATTGCATCTTCTTCTTCACAATACCCCATAGATTTTCTATGGGGTTAAGGTCAGGAGAGTTTGCTGGCCAATTAAGAACAGGGATACCATGGTCCTTCAACCAGGTACTGGTAGCTTTGGCACTGTGTGCAGGTGCCAAGTCCTGTTGGAAAATGAAATCTGCATCTCCAAAAAGTTGGTCAGCTGCAGGAAGCATGAAGTGCTCTAAAACTTCCTGGTATGTGGCTGCGTTGACCCTGGACCTCAGAAAACACAATGGACCAACACCAGCAGATGACATGGCACCCCAAACCATCACTGACTGTGGAAACTTTACACTGGACTTCAAGCAACGTGGATGAAGTGCCTCTCTTCTTTTCCTCCAGACTCTGGGACCTTGATTTCCAAAGGAAATGCAAAATTTACTTTCATCAGAGAACATGACTTTGGACCACTCACCAGCAGTCCAGTCCTGTTTCTCTTTAGCCCAGGCAAGACGCTTCTGAAGCTGTCTGTGGTTCAAGAGTGGCTTGACACAAGGAATGCGACAGCAGAAACCCATGTCTTTCATACATCTGTGTGTGGTGGTTCTTGAAGCACTCACTCCAGCTGCAGTCCACTCTTTGTGAATCTCCCCCACATTTTTGAATGGGTTTTGTTTCACAATCCTCTCCAGGGTGCGGTTATCTCTCTTGCTTGTACACTTTTTTCGACCACATCTTTTCCTTCCCTTCACCTCTCTATTAATGTGCTTGGACACTGAGCTCTGTGAACAGCCAGCCTCTTTAGCGATGACCTTTTGTGTCTTGCCCTCCTTGTGCAAGGTGTCGATGGTCGTCTTTTGGACAACTGTCAAGTCAGCAGTCTTCCCCATGATTGTGTAGCCTATAGAACTAGACTGAAAGACCATTTAAAGGCTTTTGCAGGTGGTTTGAGTTAATTAGCTGATTAGAGTGTGGCACCAGGGGCCATCAATTTTGAACCTTTTCACAATATTCTAATTTTCTGATATGATGAATTTGAGATTTTCATTTGTTGTCATTTGTAATCATCAAAATTAAACAAAATAAACATCTGAAATATATGAGTTTGTATGTAATGTATGAATATAATATACAAGTTTCACTTTTTAAATGGAATTACTGAAATCAATCTACTTTTTCATGATATTCTAATTTTATGACCAGCACCTGTATACATACAAAAAAATGTGACATGTTTTAACTACTGCGATATACAGCTAAAACCAGTTAACCCCTTCTTTATGTTGCAGCTGGCTACTCGGATAACTCCTCAACAAGCTTGTCGATGCTCCCGAGCCATGATAACTGGTCCAGTCTGCAGATGCCGACTCATTCCAGCATGATGCCCATGGCCCACAATTCCTCCTCGGGAGCCAACACAAGGTCTGTGTTCTTATCTTTGTTTGGATCTACTTAATCTGCTTAGAAAACTGTGCCAGATGACTGCAAAGGAAAAGAAAAAAAATGCATTAAAAAATCAATATACCGGTACCTACAATGCAAATTAAGAAGATTTCCATTCCACAAACAACAGAATAGGAGATGTAAAAAGAAAAACAAGATTACAAATAAATCTTTTTTTAAATATATCCCGCTCTCACCTCAAAGTTTCATGTATTTTATTTGCATTGTATGTGATAAAAGAGAACATTAAATGCATACAGTATCTGTAAGAACTGTGCCTGACATGATTAATGAAGTTCCTAGAAGATGGACTAAGGCATTACTGCCCCCCTGTGGCTGACTGGAGAACATTCTTTCACACCATTCTTCATCAGGTTCTCCTGCAGGCTGAAGAAAATAAATTAATTGAATGGGATTTTATTTATAAGTAACAGAGTATGAGGAAATAAGTAGAAACTCATGCCATACTTTACAATTTCATTTACTAAAATTGTTGTAACGCATTAAAAGCATACCAGTTACTCTCTACTCTAGCATATAACATTTTAATAGTCTGAAGTTAGCTAGATTTAGGGTATTCAATACTTTTGCAAAACACTTAAAATGTGACATAAGTCAGATCTTTGGGGACAAGTAAAGCTTCTTCAGTGGCTTCATTTTAGAATAAGCTGAATAAAGATAATGGCTTGAAAATGAAAAATTTTACTCTGATCAATTCCAGCTAAACACTTGGAGCAATGCAAGGTAAGGTAACATGCAGGCTAACGCATGATGATAAAAGCACGTAAAAAAAAATTAAGGGATCCAAACTATATGATAAGGTATTCCATCAGGATGATAAAAAAAGGTTTAATCAGTACTAATAATGACTGGAATTTCTCATCTGCTCCATGTTTGTCTCTCTGCAGTCAGTACAGCAGCCTGTGGTCTGTGAGTAACTCCCCACTGACTCCAGTGTCTCAGGGTGGGGGGTTAAACAGCTGCCTGGGCTCCCAGTTCCTCCGAGGATCATCCAGCCACTATCCCAGTCTGTCTCACTCTGCCACAGTGCCCCCCTCTGGCTCTCCCATGTATGACAGCAGCTCCGTCACAGAGGTGCATGATGCCACCCACTTTGAATCCTCACCCCTCAGCCGGCTGCCCTCAGCTTGGACCCCTGTTTCCCCCCCATCTCTTTGATTAAAGTATGTCAGGATTAATTTAAACCTTCTCCTACAGATATTTCATCACTGATTACTTTAAGGGGGCTTCCAGACTTTGATTGGTGAAGTGCATGTCAGGGTGTTAAACAGGTTTTAATCTGCCTCTAAACAAATCAAAGGCTGCGTTCAAACTGCAAGCCTTAATGCTCAATTCCGATTTTTTTGGGAAATCCGATTTTTTTTTTTTTTTTTTGCATTGCAGTTCACATTTCCAAATATATGCAACTTATATGTGATCTCCTGTGTAAACTGCATTCATACAGCATAAGTCTCCCGCATGCGCAGTAGAGGACGCAATGACGTCACAAGCCAGCATGCTCTGTGTTTACGGAAGTAAACATGAAGGTAGTTCTGGAGAGCATCTAACGATCTTTCCAAACCTTAAAACCTCAATCTTTTCAAGACTGTTAAAAAAAATACTACTCATCATCCGCCATGGTGTTTGTTTTTCTTGCCGTTTCTGTGTAGCAATAAGCAAAATAGTGACCTATGTCGGTTACTAATGGCCTTCAGGTCGAATGAATGCGACCTGGCCGTTCAGACACATTTCGCATTTGAAAAGATCAGATTCGTATCGGATTCAGGACCACATAGCCAAGTGGCCTGGGTCGCATTGGAAAAAAATTGGATCTGTGTTGTTCAGACTGGCATGAAAAGATCAGATCCAGGTTGCATATGGACAAAAAAAAAACGGATTTGGGTCACTTCAGGTTGCAGTTTGGATGTAACCTCCGTTTACTAAAGAATTTATTTTTTTTTTTTCAATTAGTTGATCTTTTTGATCTGCTTATATTAAGCTTAACTGAACAAATTAATTGCAGGAAATCATAAAGCTCTGAGAATATTAATTAGGAATGAAGAATGTTTATACTGTAAATGAGAAATCATTAGAGGCTCTGTAAATAAATGATTTTGTTTCTGTTTTTACCAAGTATTGCCTTATGAAAACTTTGATTGGAATGGAAATAAATATGTTCTTCCTATATTATTAAAAGCAAACTTTTCATTTCTTCTGTATCCTTCTCTTCTTTGACACTGGCCATGTGTAGCCCTGGTTTGCTTCAGAATAAATGCATTCAGTGGAGATATTACATTAAATTACACTTGGTTATAAAGCAAATAATTAAATGCCATGTCATAAGCAACAACATGAAATGTTAGACGTTCACGTTTAGAGAACATCTTTTGTTTTCTCATTTACTTTCAGCCTTTTTGCATTGTTGACTTTAGTGCTTTAAATGGGTGTTCACATCTCTGAAAGATTTAATCACATTACAAACTCAGACCTTAGAGTTTTTTCTCACTAGGGATAGACCAGCATATTAGATCATGGCTTTGGAATGGGGAACCTTATACATAATGTCTGAAGTTGACTACCAGATGTGGTACTTTGTAAAGAACCTTCTGCTGCAGTTACAGCTGATTGTCTTTTGGGGTATGCTCATCAATCTTTCTAAAACACAGTGGAGGGCATTTAGGAACACTACCAGTGTTGTATTGCTGGATGATCAGCAGGTCTCCATTATTCTGTAGATTCTAACAGACTCCACCCATCAGCTCTGATCATCTTGCTTAGCCCTACGGGCAAAAAAGCATCCCCAAGCATCGGGCAGTGATAATCTGATTGGAGGAACCTGTTCTACATCTTTGTTGAGTTCCCTACATGAAATAACTGCATCTTTTTGAGACAATCTCAGAACAATGTTTGTTGATGTGATTTAATGAAATACAGGAAATAAACCAAAAAGATATGAATACTTTTTGTTTATGAACAATCAACTGTACTCCAGTAGAGTAGTGAGCTGTAAACAGGAAAACTGGTTTAGAGTACAGATGCAAAACTGAACAGGATGATCTTTAGATATGTGACAACCTTAAAAACACATGTAAAAAAATCTAACCTTTAACAGGATTAGATATATTAGGCTGTAAAAAAAATACTGTTTGATTAACTATTGTTTTTTTTTTGTTTTTTATTTTATTTTAACAAAATCACTAGAACCAGAATTATTGCCACCCTTAATGATTGATTCTTAGAAAATGAACCTAAAGTATTTTATAAGTAATGCATCAAATTTAGAATGGGTAAGAGTTGTGGATCTTGCAAACAGAAATCTATCGATAAAGAATAAAAAGTGACTCTGGGGCCCATTGGTCTATGCTGCTCTTTAAACTTGGAAAGAAACATACTATTGAAATAGTGTAGATCTATATTGATCTGCAAAAGTGAGCTGATATAGAATAAATTATTTATTAAAATAAAAAGGCTTGAAGTGAAAATATTCTTTTACCAATATGCAGAGTGCAATGGAGGACCAGGAGAGTCACTGAGAGAGAAAACATCAATTTCAAATGTAACAATTAGATCTTACAATTAGAAATCCAATTATAAAAGCATTTTAAACTTAATTGTTAAAGGATCTTAAACTGTAAATAGTGTTTACTAATTCATTACAAATTACTTCATTTTAAAAATGTATGTTCGTATCTGTCACAGTTCTGGTTCTGTTATGTTTTCTTTTGAGTTTTCAGTTTTACTTTGCTCCATGTTTTCTAGTTTTAGTGGTTCAATTCCTATTTTGTCGTGTTCTCTGGTTATTTTTCAGTTTTCAGGTTTTTATTTGTTGCGCTCTGCTGCCCTCCTTGTGTTCTCCTTTTCCCTAGTTCCTTTCCTGTTCTGCTCTGTTCACACCTGCTCCCAATTATCTCGTTAGTCCTCTTTGTTTCAGTCTCCCTTAAGTACACTCCTTATGCAGTTCCTCAGTGCAGGTTCCTCGTCTAACTTCCTCCAACTCCGTCTCTGTGAGTCCTCCTCCTCCTCGTGATTGTTTTCCCCCAGGTGTCTCCATGGTTTCTGGTTTGTTTGACTTTGTTTTCATGTTAGATTGTTGGATTTGCTGCCTCTGTGTTTAGTTAACCTTTCATTAAACCTACAAGAAACTCACCTCTGCCTCCCTGCCTCTGCATTTGGGTCCTCACACCACAACCAAATCCTGACAATATCCTGTTTCTAAAAGCAGATTTAAAAAACATAATTCATAAATCTGATTAATAATACCTTTTTTTTTATTGCACCTTTAGTCAGTTTCCGTTTTCTTTTTCATCTTGCGTTTTCAAATCCTTTTCGCAACTGAATTTATTTTCACTTTACTTTCTCCATTTACTTTGCAGTCAGCCTTCTGGTCCCTGTGCATACTGAAAACCAGTTAAACCAATCATGATTGCGACTCAGATGTAAGCAGCTCTCTAATTGGTTAGAATGCCACACTTGTTTCACAAAATGATCAATGAGCAATGACCTACAGTGGTTTTTGAATCTCTGTTTAGAAATAGGATTTGAAAACACATTTCAGACAGCAGTATTTCATAATGAATTAATACAATTTACAATTCCTTTCTCATAATTCAATTAAAAATATGAAATTAGAAAACACTTTTCAAGTCGGATTTCTAATTGTACCTACTTTTTAAATATTAATTCAAAAATAGCTGTTTTCTTGTCCTCCATAGAGCACTGGGAATGGTGAAGGAATTAAAAACAATCTACTAGAGAGAACGACTGTAAAGGGCAGAGCCTGGAAACAATATGATAGTCAACAGAATAAAACTAAATTGCCTCACTTAGAACTAGGACTAACAGTAGATAAGATTTATAGTGTTTCATTCATTTAGTACAGATCCTTGTAATGATGTAGTTAAAAGAGAGTTAATTTGTAATAATTTGGTGATTTCTTTAATGCTTAACTGATAGACACTCAATTCTGGACAAACTATAAGGTACAAATAAAACAAAAAACACTAGCATGCATAAATGTCCAACAGATAGTATGGTCAAATAAATCATTTCATGTGTAATTTGGATGTTAATTGCCCTTTTATCTAAACAAACAAATGCTGTAGCTATGCTCCTCTGTCTATGTCTGGCTCTAATGTAATTGCAAGCTGTTGTTTCCTCCAACAAGTCCCTACACAGCTTTTTAACATGAGCGTGTCATTAAGCAAACGAAAGGGTATTTTAAACATTATGTAAAAAATGTATCTGGTTGTCCAAAGAAAACCAAATCATTTGCAGCCTTGTTCATATCTGATAGGGTTTTCTAAATACAAGATGCTTCCTATAAGAGTTTTTATTTATATTTCAGGTTTAATAGCTGTGCAAATCTCTTTCATCTTTTTTTTTTTTTTTTATAGTAACAAAACCAATTAGATTTTTCCTTAAACTATCATATTTTGGTCAATACACTGTGACTCACAACTTGAGCAAATATTTTACCAAGATTGAAGGACTCATTGTCTGTGAAAAGAGTATTAGTTAACGTTGTGTAATAATGATTAATTAGACTTTTTATTACTTGTTGGATAGATTTAATTGGAGAAAACAGCTTGGTCATACTGCCTGTTTAGCTAAATGTATTCCATCTAACTGAGTTTGTGGTTAAAAACAGAAACAAACCCATATAGGCCCAACCTCACAATAGTTAAGACTGAAGTATCTGCTGTTATAAACACAACACAATACATCTTCAGAGGCCGATGGCTTAAATTCTGTTTTAGAGGCAACAAGAGACAAATTGACTGCTCGGCATATGTCTTAATGGTGTGCCTTATTATCAAATGGCCTGAGTTTGTATAGCTCTTTAACGCGTCTCAAGCCATTATTATAACCTTTAACATTCTTATTTTTATCTTTCTTTGGTTTCTTTACTGTTCCTTTCAGGTAACAGTTTGTCCCTCTTTCTGCAGATAAAATTCAACACATACCCAGTATCTCCAGAAGGTTAATGGTTTGACGGAAAGGAAATCAAAGCAAAAATGCTGTGCAACTTAGTTCTTGAAAGGAAAGGAAAGCACTATGTCCCCCGAGGTCGTCTAAGATGCACCACACAGCCCAGTTTATCAAGATGAGCAATAGGGCATATTATGTCATCCTATGCATTTGGGGATGTGGCTCTAGATGAACAGAGCAGAAATCAAATTTGCCACATTCAACACCAGTAGATTTTCTCAATTCTTTAGTCCTTTCCTGATATCCTATATACGGAGTTAACAGTCAATTTGTTTGGAAAGCCTTAATATCACCTGGTTAGACCATCTGCTTCCTTCTCAGTTGGGTTATTTTACTTTGGCATAGATTGTACAACGTCTATAAAAACATGATAGCACCAAGCTGCTGTTTTTTTTTTATCCAAACAGTCATGACACCAATCTGTCGTTCAACTAAACCTCAAAGATGACATATCTAACTGAGTTTTATATACAGTGGTAACCACAGGAGTAAAATAAGCTCATTATTATGCTCAAGTAAGATAATATAACCAGAAACATGTTTTTAGACATGGTGCATTACTGTGCTAGAAGTTGCCATCAGAAAATGGGTACATGTGGCCACTAACGGATTGACATATTACTTATTTAGAGAGTGACATTTAAGTAACGCCTAGCAGCTATCAAGTGGACTAAAGTGTGTTAAGGAATGCATTAAGTACAGAGCTAAATACGTTGAGTATTTTCCATGACTGGCTGATTCAAGGGCCTGAACAATTGTACCTGAATCAGAGGTAAGTGAGTGTATGTTCATTTTGTAAATTCTGGGTAAAGCTGCTAAGAGTGAATTATGTAATAAAGAACACAAACTAACACAAAGAACACAAACTAAGGTTTGCAAATGCACTCAATTCAACTCAATTCAATTCAGTTTATTTCTATAGCGCCAATTCACAACATGTCATCTTAAGGCACTTTACAGTTAACCAGATCATGCAGTCAGATTGATTCAAAGGTTTCTATCTAAGGAAAACCAGTTGATTGCATCGACTCATTGACTCAAAGGCAATCCCTCAATCTAAGCATGCTTGTAGCGACAGTGGAGAGGAAAAACTTTCTTTTAAGAGGAAGAAACCTTCAGCAGAACCAGGCTCAGTGTGATTGGCCATCTGCTGAGGATGACAGGGGTTCAAGGAGACAGAAGCCGAGATAGAAATAGAAGCAGAGATACAAAAGGCAACTGTCAACCAGCTCCATGGGGCGGCACCAAGCCAGCTCTTATGTCAGAGGATGAAGAAAGCATATCCAGCCAGTCACAGTCAAAGAAACATGACTACACTGAAAAAGAGGCCGACCTCGAACATCTACTGTTTAGACAAAGGTGTTCATGGCAGAAGCAAAGCTGATATTTCTCTCTAGGATGGTGTCACAGCCAATCAGGAACAAACCAGATGAAGCTACTATGAGAAAAAACAGAGAGAGCATAGTGTTAGGGTGTTGAGAGAGTGTTAGTGTTAGAGATTGAACTAACAAATTCTGTAGAGTGGGAGAATTAAGATAGAATGAAGAAAGACAGGTCCCTACCATTCTAGCATCCCTCCAACAGTAGCATGCTAGTCGGGAGCAAAGATTATGTTCTGTGGTCTGTTTAAAGTAAATCTACAGTGTTTGCAAGCCTTAGAGAACCCACCAAACCATGAACTACAAATGTGACTCCACCAAGAGAGAACGTTATGTGGAATTATTGAGGCAACATCTTAAGTCCGGAAGTTATAATCTGAGGGCAAATTGACAGTCCAAATCAACAATAAGGCAAAGCAATTTGGCTTGAAAATAAAACTCAGAACATCAGAGCTGAAAAAGTATTTTGGGGCAAACCTGAGTTAATCACTTGTTCTGTCAGGAAGAATGGGTATTCAAGAAACTATCATGAGAAGAAAGAAAATTAAAAACAATCCACCAGACTTTGTCTTCAAGTTTGAGGACGTTTCGCTTCCCATTCAAGAAGCTTTTTCAATTCAAAATGTCAGGAATAGCGTTGAACTCAACAAAGTCCGGTGGATTGTTTTTAATTTTCTCTTTTGGAACGACTATGCCCTGGATGACTGGGAACCTTCATCAGCATCATGAGAAGGTTGTGTGTAATAATTACCTATAATGTTTAGCTAAGGGTGTACCATTTTAAAATAAATTTTAAAAGTAACGTTAATAAAATATAAAATATTCTTCCTCTCATTACACTGCATTTTAGGTTTTGTGTTCCCTTGATAGTCGATTCCAACTGTAAATGTTCTGATTATTCTTACACTAATCCTATTACCATGCCGTGTTGGTGCATTATTGAAGAGTATTGTTTCAGATGGTTATTTTTGAAATTATTTCCATCACTGTTATGGCCAAAGGAAACATTAACATCATTAGATAGAGGAAATAAGTCGACCTTTCTAGTTGAGCCAATTATATACCTCATGTATTATTATTTTTTCCTCTAGTCAAAGGGAGGGGGAAATGGAGAGATTTATATTAAAAAAAATCTATAAAAGCTAGGAAGGCAGGGTATTTCACCAAGCCTAATAATCCCATTATGAGCCCAATGAAAAAAAAAACGCTCTCGGTCAAAGCACGGCACATTGACGCAAGCATTTCTTGACGTCAGTAGCTGCAGTGAATGAGGGATGGGAGGAGGGTAGAGTAATGGGGAAGGAGAAATGCGTGTTTACCTTCTCTTCAAAAAAAATACACCGTCTAATGCATGAATGCAAATGCAGTTATATGCAAAAAAGCAACAAGATCAAAAAAAATCCCCTGACTTTAAACGTGCACATTTTACATTAACAGTAAAGGTGCTGCAGCGCCAGTAATCTAAACCAGATGTAAATGGAAAAAGCGATCCTCCGACCCAGAGAGTGCGCATAAATAAATCAGCAAAGGAGATAATGATCAGTGTCTCTTCTTACAGAATTTAAGTGTCAAAAAACAATATTAGAAGATCTGTGCAATTTAACTCTTAGAGGGAATCCTTCAAATAGCTTAGAGAGAGAAGAGGAATGGAAGGAAACGAATGAGATTCATTTCTAAGAGCAAGGAAAGTGGCTTATGTAAATTTCTGCTGCATGCCTTTAAAGCTCTTTCGTGACTGTGTTGAAAATTACAGCAAAAAGGACCTGCACCAACCTCTTTGTTATGTTACTTTGGCCCTCAGGTCATTTTTTTTTTTAGGTAGTCGCATAAAGCGGGTCTCTTTTCTGCTTTCCACCGCTTTAACAAACGTTGCACACCTGCTGTCAGTCTGGAAAGGGGTCAGTGGCTCCTTACGTGTTTAAAAGAGTGAACACTGCAACCAGATAATCTGCGTTTACCCCCCCACCATCCGCCTTTTTTTTTTTACTGAAAACACCCAGCAGCTTTCGTGCGTCACTCCTGATTAGACCTGGAGTCTGACGTCGCAAGCGCGGCATTCAAGAATTAAATACCTCACAGAAACTTTTAAGTCAGACATCTTTTTTTAATCACATCCGTAGTGACGGAAATCTGTCGTTTCTTTCTTTCTTTCTTTCTTTTTTTTTTTTTAAGACGCGGATCAACATTGCAGTCAGTGCGTAATATCCATCTGACCAGAATCCAAACATAATCCGAGCGCCACACACGTGATCCACAAAATCTCTTTGGATACAAATATTTTTTTTTCATCTCATCTGGCCAAAAGCAGAAGGAAAAATAGGCCGTGGACAATCCTGTGAAATCATCTTGTCCGATTATCAGTGCGTTGCTCAAAGAGCTGATCGGCTCCATGCCTTGCCGCGTCTCCAGATGCCCGCTTGGCCGGTGCTCGGCAACTTTGCGCGCCGATAGAGGCTCACAGCAGAGGCGGGATCTGAATGAATGCGGCTGAATTTTTTTCTCGGTTCTGTTCTTGGCATCCAAAGACTGTTGGATGTGTTTTATATCCCGCCGGTCAAACGTATCTCACGCTATCAACAGATACGCGTAGATATATATACGATTCGGCGGGCGCATCACTCCAACACCAGACCGCGGAGCAGCAGATGTCGAAGAAACGGAAAAGTCCTGATGATCAGGGCATCCAAGAGTCTCCCTCTGCACGGAGCAGCGAGCAGCAAGGTAAGAGAGATGGCTGCTAAAACCTGTAGCAGTTGTGAGAGCGCATGTGTGTGAATAGTTGGTGTTTCTTAATACATATAATTACAAGTTAGATCCACAAAATTTACTTTATGTGAAAGAGTGACACACATTTTTTAAATAATGCACTGCAAAACTGATCTAAGAATGAGCTAAAGTGTCTTAAAACAATTTAGCCTTAATTTGAGTAGGTAAATGAGGTAATTTGCCAATGGAATTAGTATTTTTACTCTTAAAATAAGACAATTAGATAATATGCGCTTAAAATGAATAAGCACCAGAACCTCAGGGTCAATCTAGGCTGTTCCAACAGGAAAATGAATGAGCAAAACCTCCATATATTCTAAATAAAGACAAACTATACTTTCCTTCATCCTTTGCTAAAAAATAGATGCATATATGTAAACATCCATGCTTTTTAGATAAAAGGTAAAGTGGATCAAATTCTTTCAGGTTTGTGTTCTGGGGCGAACATCTTTTCCATCATCATTACTTACCTACTTGCATAAATTTTCTACATAAATTGATTATTTAATGGGTTTTTATGAAAGTTAGTTATTTATCTGTGATTTCACTAAAGACTTCTAGATGAATGCAAAGACACATCATTTTCTCTTTACCCCATATAACACAAAATCTAGTTCTGAAAAGAGCAGGAATTCTGTACTTACTATCTTTAATGTTAGTATATTGATGTGCATAATTAACCACAGTGCTTTTGTTATCAAGTAATTATGAATATATGAAAAAATAGTAAGTATTGTTTGGAATATTCCACTTGATTATTAGGGGGGGGAACAATGGCCACAGCCGTGGCCAATGATTGGCTAAGGGTGACCATGGCCACCCCTGGCCCCCCATCTAGCTCCGGCCATGCTTAATTCAAGAAAAAATGCACCCACTGCAAGAAAAAATTACTTATTTAGATTTACATTTTTTGCAGTGTGTGAGGTGGAATGAAATTCATATAAGATTTTAAAATTTTACTTCATATAAATTTCAAAAGTACAGTTTCCATTGATTTTCAGCCCCACTTAGTCTGACAGTGACATAGTAGCCAGAAAAGTTAGATCTCATTTCACTAACAGGAAGCTAAAGGGGCACATCTGTACTTTCAAAATGAATGCCTAAAGAAAGGTTTGATTTTTCTCGAAGGCCTTTCCACACTAATAAAAATAAACATATATTTGTTTATCTGTGCCGTTTGAATTCATTATTTATGGTTAAGCATAATATTTAGATAAAAAATGCTGGACAGACGCTGTCTAATTACTTCCTGAGCTCATAACTTTGCCTTCTCCACAAAATACGCAAAATCTGGCTCTGAAAAAACATGAATTTTGTGTTTGTCATGTCAAATGCTGGGGCATGGGCGCTTTTAGACGGGTGCCAATAGGGGACAGGGCCCCTGTAGAACTAGTCATATAGCCCCTGTTATTGGCCCTGTAATTAAACATAAAGTGCAAAATCTTCATTGTTCTTAGTAGAAAAAATAACAAAATAAATTCAAAGGACTTAAAGAAAAATTATATATATATATATATATATATATATATATATATATAATTTATTTATTTATTTTTTGTTTGTTTTTTACTGACGTTGTACATTTGCTAAAGAACAACCTGTTATCTCTGCTTCCTTCTCAACATACATCTTCCCCTCCTTATTACTCCCCCTCCTGTTACAGCTGGATGCTCTGCTTTTAAAGCAAAATGTCTCATTTTAGCTGAGAAGAAAGTAAAACATATCTGAACACAATATACAAGCATTTAGAAATGCATTTCCTGAAGGAAAACCTTAAAATAATGACACTGGGAAACCGTTAACAGATTTTATTGAAAACTGCATAAAAAAAATAAAAAAAATCTATAATGGAGCACAGCCCTCTATAAACATTTAAATTTCTCAAAAGAATAAGGAGAATAAAAAGAATAACAAAACAGCTCCCCTCTACTTTCTCTAGAGGCAAACAAACTAATGAGGCTCACAAATGATATTATAATGATATATAATAGCAGTCATGCTGCACACATTACAAGTAAGTGAACATTTACTCTTTTTTTTTTCTTTCATCAAAATCTACTTTTTAATATTAAATAATACAGGAAAAGCTTCAAACATAGTAAATAATTACCCATCTTTTACTTAGACCACTACTGCGCTAGGAGGAACTTTGGAGAAACATTGTTTTGTGCCCAAAGTTCTGCTGTTGTTCTCAAAGAGACTTCTTCTGTCAGGATTTGGATCAACATGTTCAAAGCCACAATATTAAGCTATGCAAAGTTATTACTTATGAGGCTGAATTTAACTTCAACTCTTCAGAGATGTATTAGAATGGTCCATTCAAACTCTGCATTAATCCAATTAAGAATCAGTGGCAAGACTTGAACATTGACAGACATTCCTTATGTGTTAAAGAACATCTTATGTGTTAAAGGTGAATGAGCAACAAATATATGTTTTCTAGATAAGCTTGCAGAGAGATATGCCAGAAGATCAGAGATTGTTTGGGGGAAACAATCGGATTGTTTGGGGAAATATTGAGTCGCAGTTGATGAATGTGAATGCCTACAACACCTTCTATTTGTTTTATGTAAAGAGAAAATTTAAAAACTTTTTTTTTTTCATTGTCCATTTTACAAATGCAAACAAACTTGCATTATTTTTATAGATATTGAAATTACATACACTTAAGTATGTGGTAATGTGACAAAACTATGAAACACTGAGCTGAGATGCTTACGCTGAAGTAATGAATAATGGGCTCTATGGACAGCTCTACTTCTTCCTGAACTTAAGGTAGCTCTTTTATTTCCTGTCTTTCATTACTGGATGGAATGATTAATCAAGGTGTGTCTGGCCATGGTTACTTAGGTCAGGCACGCCTGGATTAATCAGTTCATTCAGTAGAAAAAGACAGGAACATAAAGAGCTGCCTTAAATTCAGGAAGTAGTGGAGTTGTGCATAGAGCCCATTGAACAAATAATGGAATATTGTTGTTGTATGCTTGTTCGAGGGGCTTTTAGTCTACTTAGGAGTCATGAAGTGATCGTTAAATGAGGCTACAGCTTGATAGCTTTTGTCATTCATTTCAAAGTGTAATAATTTAAAACAGTATAATTTAGCTTTGATCAAACATCCTTTTCACATGATTCATGTTTAGAGTGTCATGGCAGAGTCCCGTACAGGTCCGATTTTTCTAAACTGTATCCGCACGGACCTTTAGAGTTCAGAACCGAGACCTGAACCGTAACCCGCAAATATCCCCATTTAAAACCCGGCCGGGACTGCACAGACCTGTAAATAATAAAGTGCAAGCTGACCCATGATCACAAAGTGTACACACAGCTGTTTACAATAACAGAGGCAGAAAAGAACACTGCCTCACGATCACATCCAGTGCATGCTGAGCTCACAGATTAATGGCAGTAAATAGGATTAAGAGCTGCTCACTGGCACAGTGGGTAGCGCTGCTACCTTGCAGCAAGAAAGTTGCGGGTTCATTTCCTGGCCCGGGGTTTTTCTGCATAGAGTTTGCATATTCTCCCTGAGCATGGATGGGTTCTCTGTGGGTACTCTGGCTTCCTCCACTGTCCAAAAATATGACTGTTGGGTTAATTGGCTTCTCTAAATTCTCCTTAGTGTGTGTGAGTGGTTTGTCTCTATCCTGCCCTGTAATGGACTTGCGAAGTGTCTAGGGTGTATCTTGCCTCTCGCCTGTAGAAAGTTGGAGATAGGCACCAGTACCCCTCGTGACCCACTCCGGAAAAAGTGTGTCAGAAAATGGATGCATGGAAATTGAAGTAAGTAGGTTTTCCTCGTTGCTGAAAAAGTTACGGTTATTGTAACATTGTTAAATAAACTTATTTTTCAAGATGTACAGTTAATAAAAAAGAAACTGTAAATAAGTTTAATTCATTCTGTAACTCTATCATATATACCCACGCACTCGTGAAATAATATGGGTTTTTTTTCTACCCGTAGATGTACATTTTATATGGGTAGCCGACCCAGTTCAGGACTCTGTGTCATGGTGCACCCACTTTCTTCTTATTTGTCAATTTATCAACAACCCAGTATTATTTCTGGTACTTCTTTTATTACTGCTAAGGAACTGAAGCCATACCAGTGTCTGTTGCACTGGCTTTAATTGGTCACCAGATGTCACTGTTTTTCATTGTTCTCTGTAGGATGAGAAGGAATGCCTCATCTCTCCATTGGAAGTGTACGGTAAAAGAAGGGCAGGTTGCTGGTCTTGTTTGATTATAGGCTACTCACTTCCAACTTACTTGACTTAAATAATCAAAGATGGGCAGGATAAACATAACTGTTTTTCTCTGCTGGGTTCAAAATGGCAGCTTTTTCTTTAATTTTAATGAGCAGCTTTGGAAAAATCTAAGCAGCAAGAACAGCCATAACAAAGATAACATTTACAGCCTTAAAACAGAGCTGTGCCTGTTTAAAGAATGCATTGAGAATAGTCTTTTTTCTCTAAAATGTGCTGCAGTTTGATTTAATTGATAAAGCTAACACATTGTAATGGCATAACTGTCTGCTTTGGCTTTGATTAAATGTAAATGATAATATGTGGGTCATGCAACATCTGCAGAAGATCCATTAAAGGTGTAGTGGAGGATTTTCTTTTTCCAGCTGGATCATCAAAATAAATGGTCCTCCTAATTATCAATCATTCTGGTGATATGTTTACATAAAGCCATCCTATGTGCTTGACCTACGTGCTATTTCTGTCCCCCCATCTGGACATAACTCCACACATATATTTGAACAGGTTAATGACATCAGCAAATGGCAGTTGGTTACGCTTCCTTTGCTATGGCCCAATCCCAAACCTGCCCCTAAAAACTTACCCTGAGCACAAGGCCTCCGTTTGCTCGTTCCCATGGAGGGTGCGCCACATTAAGTGTCAATGCAAACCACATAGTGGGTAGGGCGTGTGGAACTTCTAGCCGTTAAATAG